AGTTTCATAGTTTTATTAATGAATTAAGAATAAATAATAATTTTGAACTTAACTGTATTGCTAACATGGATGAAACTCCCGTTTACTTTGATATGGTTGGTGCTTATACAATTAATGATCGTGGCACACGAACAGTACCTATACGTACAACAGAGAATAATAAAAACTAATTTACTTGTGTTTTAGAAGTTTTAGCGGATAGATCAAAGCTCCCTCCGATAGTTATTTTCAAAGGAAAAAGAGTGCCTAGAGGCCAATATCCCCCTGGAATAGTTATTAGAATGCAAGAGAATGTGTGGATGGATGAAGAGTTGATGAAAGAATGGTTAGAAGCAGTTTGGAAGCAAAGACCTGGTAGACAAAATAAAAGATTATTATTAGTATTTGATTCATTCGAAGGACATCTCACCACGATAGTTAAAAATAAATGCTATGATATGAATACCATTTTAGGTGTTATTCCTGGTGGACTTATATCAGTTGTACAACCTTTGGACGTAAGTATCAACAAACCATTTAAGGATCGGCTTCGTGAAAAATGGAATATGTGGATGGATATCGGGGAACATAAATTTACTAAGAAAGGAAATATGAAAAAACCAGAGCACGATATAATGTGTCACTGGGTTATAGAAGCATGGAATGAAATTTCAACAGAAATTATTATTAAGTCTTTTAAGAAATGTGGTCTTTCTAATACCTTAGATAATTCAGAAAACTATTTAATTGAATTGGATCAAATTGAAGAAGAAGAAGACTGTGTTATTGATCTAGTAGATAAAAACAAGGAAAATGAAGAAAATATTGCAACATTTAGTATACCTTACATAAATACTGAAAGAAGTTATTTAATCAGAGAAAATGAAACTGAGATGATAAGTGTTCTATTGTGCTAGAATATAAATATAAAAATAAGAACGATGCATTGTAATTAGAAAGAAAAAGATGTATTATAATTAGAAAGAAAGACCAAAAAAAAACAGATCTAACAGTTTATAAATAAGAAATTAAGCATAGAAATATAAATTTATTTTACCTCTTGCAGTCTTGCGAAAGTATAAATTGGTGTTAGTTTAGAAGATTAAGCAGTATATAATGTAATAAGAATAAGTAAATTCAATTTAGTATACTATTTAGCGACAATGTAAGAAGCAGTTTGTTGAAAATTATACGTACATATATAGGTACGTACTCTTGATTAAAGGTAATACGTATGTGCTAAATATATATATATACGCATATATATATAAATATATAAAATATAATATATACGTAGTGATAAGTGTATGTATGCTTTGTATACTTTGTATGCTAATAAAATTTTTGAATTTAAAAAATTTTTATCGTTATTAATCAATTGATTGATCTAAGTCAACTATAAATATCTGGTCTAGGCAAAAAGCCTCTGATATTTGTGTAATGGAATTTATAGTAGGTACTGTATTTCAGAATTTTTCTGATTCCAATCTATAAAGTGCTTATTCTTGATTAAAAATTTTACTTATAGGAGGTGCTTATTCATAATAGGTGCTTATTCATGATAAGATACGGTATATCTAAGATATCTCTATTAACAATTTTACCAATTTTTTCTTTTAAGTAAGCAGTAATTCAAAATTAATATTAAAGAATTTGTTGTCTCACTCAAGTTGTTCAGGTAAAGAATTTGCTATAAATATCATAGAATTATAGTTAGTTTACAGATTAAAGTATATTTTTTCTTTTTTCAAAGTATATTCATTAAAATAAAAAGCCTGTATTTCTTTACTCTTATTCTCTAGTTTGTCAATCTATTCTTCTTTATTAGTGAATTTCTTTAATTTATGATAGTTGCTTGTTTTTCTAATATAAGTTGTATTAATAGTAACTTGTTTACCCAAGTATTTTATATATAAGGTATTACTATCAAAATCAAGTTTTGCACTTGATTTACTAAACCAATATCGGGAAACTAAATATAATGCAGATCTGCGATTCTGGAAATTTTTAACAAATTTCATAATCTATCAATCAGAACTTAACAAATCTAGTACTATTTGAACCATCTCGATGAGATAGATCAAATGGTACTAAATTTGTTAAAATTTGGTTACTGGATCATGAGATAATTGCATTTAAATGAATTTTGCAGCTATCTTACGATCTTGTTAACCAGTAGTTCAAATTTAATGATTTTGGTACCATTCAATTCCTCTCAATAAGACGGTTCGAATGGTACCAAAAATGTTAAAATCAAATCACTAATTCACGAGATATTCACAGAATACGTTTTGCAGTACAGTTTTGCACAGATTTGCAAATTTTTTTTATGTAGATCTGTATAAAACTATGCTACAAAATGTATTCTGCAAATACCTCACAAATCAGTGACTTAATTTTAATATTTTTGATACTATTCAAACTATCTCATCGAGAAGAATCGAATGGTACCAAAATCATTAAATTTGGGCCACTGGTTAACAAGATCGTGAGATAGCTGCAAAATTTACTTAAATACAATTATCTCAAGAGTAAGGTTTTTTCTTGGGACTCAATTATTTGTAAATCAATAGATATAACTAGGTCTTGTAGAGTTATTCTAATATTACTCACTATATCTAAAGCTTTAGCTCTATTACTATTGGCTATAATAACGATAGTTCGAAATTGTTTATCAATTAATAACTTAAGTTTGTTTATCAGCTTCTTGATTATTATACTTACTGCAGTGCCAGAATCTAATATAGCAGCCACTAGATTACTTTTAATTCTTACATAGTAACACATTGCTATGATTTTATACTAACTATTTGCATTTAAATAGTTAGCCTTAGTACTTGGAGACTTTTTGTATTTAAGTGCTTTAGCAAAGTTATAGCATTGAGTTAGATTTTGTAATATTTAACTATATGTTATATATACTGGAGCATCTAATATGTTTTTGGATATATTATAAGGCTAAAGTTTTATTTACAACTGAGAGTAAGTGATGTTTGGTAACCTTTTTTGATGTTACTTCAGAAACTATATTATTATCCAAGTTTATTAGATTTTCAATTTTTTCTTCTGAGACTAGAAAATTATATTTTCTATTGTGTAACTAATACTCTTTATATGATTCTAACTGTTTTTTGTTGCTGCTTTCCTTTAAGCTTTTTATAGTTGGTACTATAAAGTTGATATTTAGTAGCAAATACTTCTTTATTATTACTATCATACTTAGGTTTTATAAAATTAATATGTCTACTTTGTCTATTATTATAAGTAGGTTGTTTTAGAATTTGATATGGACATTTTACCTTTTTAAACAAATATTCATATACATAATAGCCAGGTTCTTCATATTTATAATACTTATCAAAAGAACTCTTCTTATAAGGCTGTTCTCATCTGACTTTTGCTAGAGCAGCTACTTTATCAGATTAAGCTATTAATACAATTGCCATATTGGCATAATTGAGACTTAACTGTTGTATTTGCTAGATCAAGTTTTTGATCTTTTTCTTATAATTCCTTGACTAAATAAATAAGTCAGGGCCATTATCTAAGATAAAAGTAGTATCTTGTTTATACTTACAAGCTTTTTTCAAAATCTTACTTAAATTTTGTGGGTTATACATTAATAACATAAGAAGTATTTTAGGCCTTAGGCTTTTTTTGAAGTAATATTGTTGTTGCACATCTGCTATATTTTGGTTAACTCTTTTTACTAATCTTTTGAACTTACTATAATAAATTTACTGAGTAACTACTTAAGCAAATCAATATCTCTTAACCACTTATTCTACCAATACTAGGTACAAAACTAAATGATAAATGTAGTAGTGGTAGTAGTTTAATCTTGAACAAGGTTATTAGTAGCTGCATTAGTCGCAAAATAGGTTTGTTGCTATTTATTAGCATTACTATATAGAAATGTAGATAAAAGTTTCTTTTTTCAATAGTTAATTTATCGATTAGCCATAGTAGCTTTTCTAAAAATTTCTAACTATATTCTAGGATTTTGTGTATCAGCTCTATAGAATAGCTCAATTCTTAGCAGAATAAAATCTTTTTAATTAGCTTAAAGATAATTTAGAATATCTTGTGCAATATCAGCAGCTATATTTTGGTTAACTGATAAGTAATAGTATATGAAATAATCTTTCTAATTCTAAATTTGAATTTGACTTTTCTATCTCAAAAGTGGTTTTATCTAATTATAAAGAACAACAAGAAAATTTAATTCAAATTTATTTGTCTGTTAATATACTTGATAAAGTTAATCAACTAGAGTATCAATCTAGAGTCTTTTGTATATCTATACATATACACTAAAGCCTAAAAGTATTCTTCAAATGGATTTGCAAATTGCTGCAATAACTGAAAGTTCTGAAGCATGCAGTTAGTATGAAAAATTACTAAGTATGCAACTAAAAACCAAGCCCAGAAGTTGATAAATGGTAAAATATACACTTTTGCAATAGGATAATACAATTAACAAAAGTAGTCTGCTATGAATTTGTAAATTTACTGATAAATTATTTCAGTAGTCTCTAGATAAAGTATATGCTGATAATCAATTATGTTAAGTATTCCTATATTGTAACTCTGAATATTTAATCATACACAGTTAGTAACTATATATTATTAGATTCAATCTTAAGTGGCTTGGTGAGTTAAATCTCACAGTTACTACCAAAAATATTATACTTGAATCAACCTCTCAAAATGATTCAAGGGATGTAATAATATAATATGAAGCCTGTATTTTACTATAGAGTTAAGAGTTAATATAGCTTATAATAATACTTAATAGAGAGAATATGAAGGCTTTATTTGATAACAACTCTAGGTATATAAAAATATCAAGGTTGTATAATTTATATATTAAACTTCTTTTGTGAAGATTGTGTTTTTCTCTTTATAGATTATATAAATACATTACTAACAAAATTAGATTTATAGGTATTATTCATATATAAAGACATGAATTAGTATATTTATTAGATAAAATAATAAGAGAATAATATAAAGGAGATAAGAATTTAACTGTTTAATAAGGAATTTCAGAAGTTAAAATTTATTGTAAAATAAAGCAAAATTGAAGGCTTTATATATATAATTTGAAGGCTACAATCTACAAAGTCAAGATCAATTATATATCTAATTCTAATTATACTATATTATTTTATTTTTTTTATACTATTGTATATTTTTATTATAAGAAAGTATTACTTTTATACAATTGAATATAAATTTTAGTCTTTGGCTAGTCAATCTTAGGATTAATCTATTTATATTTTTATATGCTAGTAAAATAGTATAAATAATCTAAAGTTACGATTCTGTACCCATTTTTTCCAAAGTACCCAAATTACTTTGCTATAAATCAGATAACTTTTTAGAGTAACACTATACAAATGTTATAAACAGTACAAATATAAACAAAATTAATTTCGTTTTAAATATTTTTTTAACCAATATCTACAATAACTATACAACCTTTTTTATAAGGTTGATTATAATTTTTTTATTACAAAAACTCAATTATATAGAACCACTCATAGCAAAAGAGGCATTGAAAATGATCATGTGATTTTGAAAAAATCATAATTTAAGATTGTTACATAATTAGTTTTGATATTGTAATAATGAAAAAAATATTTAATTTAACAAATTTTATTAGTATACTTATAAAATAAAATATTTTTTTAAAAAGATAAAACTTATCCTTTAATTGGTAAAGATTTGCAGGCAAATTTGCCTGCATAATTACTATAAATATGTCTCTGATCTACTTTTTTAATTAT